GAACAGGTTCCAGTGCCGTAAACGATTTTAATATTTATTATTTGGCCCAGCGATGACGTTGTCCGGTGGTGGACACTTTTTGCGCCATTTCTGAGGAAAATCGGGGGCAATGTGGAAAGTGGAAGGCGCTGGCAGCTGTCGGGAGTCGTTTTCAGTTGGCTACTCACGGCGCCTGGCACAATGACAAATTACGAGTTGAAAGTTGAGTGAACTTTGGCGCGACAGTGTCCACTGTTCTCCCTCTTAATTTGGCTATTTGAAGAGCAGAACAGAGGTATTTTGTATGCAAGAAAGTGTTTGTCATGATCTAAAAATGCAAATGATATTGTGAGATAATCGGGAATATTATTTGTGAGGAGAAGCGATATGTTTAAAAAGGAATTTTCGAGACCTTGGTTTATGGTAAAAAAATAATTTATTTATTTTGCCTTTTAAATTTAAAAAAGGTCTGATTTTGTCAAACTGCGGACTTTAAGTATTATCTTTTTATCATCATCAACGGCTTATTTTTCATAGAAAAGAGTATCTGTGAGTGAGATTTCTACTAGATCTTTCTGCCATTTTGGTTATGGTCTCCCTAGTTCTTCGGTCGTAGTCTCCATCCTATTTTCCCCTCCCGCAGACAGCTGTCAGTGGTTCAATCTTTGGCTCCGCCGGTCGAGGCCTTTGAAATTGATGAGGCTTTTGTTGCTGCCTTTGGCAAATGAGGCGCAGATAAGCGTCAACTTTGACGCCCTCTTGAACATATTTTTTCAGTCGGTCTCATTCTTTCTAAGTTTCCGATTCGGTTTCGTTTCGTTTTCCCCTTCAGAGCTCTTGTTTTTCGTACTGCTTTGGTTATCATCGAAACTGTTGCTTCTTCTTTGACAGAGGCAAACAGGCGAAGAAAAAAATTTCTGGCCGGTCTTTCGGTTTTTGTGTCTCTGGGCTAGGCTCATTTGAACCCGATGAACCTTGTTTCATTCCCTTTTACTTTTTTTCCGTACATATATTTTTTAAACATTTTTGTTCGAATTGTTTCCTATTTTTTTGTACGTCGTGCTGTTGTTTTTGCCGTTTGTGCGTGACATATTTGTGTGAGCATTTGACTCTTCGCCTTTTTTTCCTTTTGGGGGTAACCATTTGTTTGTCTGAATGCTTGACTCGGATTTGTTGTCTGGCCCTCTATTTTCCCTTTTGGGGTATGGAAACTTGCCTATGGAAGAGGATACTTAGGGCTTATCATTCAGAGGGATCGATGAGGTAGGCTCAAGAATGGAACCTTCTGACTGCTATGCAAATGATGAACAAGATTTGAGAGAATTGAATGAATTGCAATAAATAAATTTAATGTCAAAGAAGCCGTCACAAGAAGCCGTTTAAACTAAATGGGGTCTACTTTTGCCAAATGTATATGTTTTTCTTCTGATACGAGCTTTACTATATTTTAAATATAAGAATTTTGGAACAGATTAGTTTAAGGAACCAAAAATCAAAGGACTTTAACATTTGAATTATAAATAAATATATTAATATTTTATTATAATACATAGTATACTTGTTCAATCAGAATATAATTTTCTTGAAAGTATAATGTAATAAGTTTTTTAAATTTGTTTCCAAGACTAGAGTAGTTTAACTTCGGATATTTTATAGTTCTTTCCCACATTTGTAGGCTCTCTGTACAAACGATAGAGACAGCTGCACATTTAGTGGGAAAGGGTGGAAGATACTGGATGGAGGGACAAAATCATCACTCATCGCTGCTTGCACTGATTCCGCAGCTGCTGCTGCTGTTGCATCCGAGAAAATCCCCCAATGAATAGCAAGTTGCAAACTGCATTTGAATTGCAAACCCAAGTCCCCTCCCCGACGACCCCTCCTGTCAAGCAGCAACTACCCACATTAGTTTAGCATATGTTTTACATAACTGAGAGTCGGAACCGGAGGCTGGGACCACGGCAGTTCCCCAAAGCTGAACTGAATCCTCGGCTTATGCTCCACTTCTGGCTGTCTGAACTTTTCGGAATTTTCTTTTTCATTTTCATTATTTTGTCTTCATTTTTTTTACACAGAAAACTATAGTTCTGGTACAAAATCTAAAATTTATTACGTCAAATATAATGCCTAGCAATAGTAATATACATTTTTTGCACTTTTAAAATATTTATTTTTTCTATTTACTTATGAAATTAAAATCATATTTGCATTTTTAAACATTATATCGATGCATATGTACTAATAACGAATAACCTTAACCAATTAATGGTTGTAAATATAATATATTTGTCAGTGTAGCTCGGGACTTCCTGTTTGTCCTATCGCTAATCTCCACTACATCTTTCGGATCGAAATTCTAGTTTCGTTGCTGCTTCGACGGAATCAAAGATTGAGCGTTTCGGTGGTCCACGAAATGTACGCAGCTCAAAAACAAAATTTATTGAAATGGCAAAAGGAAGACCTTGATCTTTAGATTATCACATCAATAAATGGTTTTCGTTTTTTATTTCTTATAATTTTATTTTGTCGCAGTCGCTTAGCCGCTGCTCTTTTTTTGGCGGCGTCTTCAGCATCTCGTCTTCTACCTCTTGTTGTTCTTGTTCTTTGACGTGAAAGAAGCGAAAACGAAACCGAAATCGAAATGAAACGGAAACTGGTGGAACCAGTCGAACGGCAGATGAAAAAACGACATAAAACCAAACCCACTGAACTGACCAAACCAAAAGAACTTCTTCTTCGGCTAATTAAGAGTTTTGGTTAGCGCCAGCTAACTTGTATTCGAATTCGTTGATTTTGTTCTCGAAATCCAAGATCTCGGGCCATTAATTTAAATGCAACTCTATTAGGCGAGTCTTTGTGCATGAAGTCACAGTCGTCGCCCCATCTCGACTTGAAGATTGCTTCTCGCAAATGTATTCCACAAATGACGCTTACGTGATTACATAAAGACCCATAAAAAGTGATTTGAACTTGAAATCGCTAAATGCGTCATGCAATTGAAACAGAAACACAAAAAACGGCGCTTGTTAAAAAAAAGCGACTAGAGAAAATCACTGAAATCTGTGGAAATAAAAACGTACTAGCCATAAAATTGTTACAATGACAACGGACAGGCAATGGCTAAAACAACGCCAACAACAGCGCAGTTTGCCAGTAGATCAAATTGAATAACTGCTTTAGCTTTCAGCCTCTACAAAAACAACAACAGCAGTCAACTATATAGCAAGAAGATCAACAAAAGCAGGCAAAGTCGAAAAGAGCGCATCAATTAGGCTTATAACCATGTACATATATACCTCTCTCTATAGCGTATATAGTATAACATTCGTGTTCTTGACGATGTTGCTGCTGTCACTGCAATTGCTGTTGCTGTTGCTGCTGGCCTCTGTTAAACGACAATTGCTGCTGTCGTAACAGATGTTGCTGCTGCTGTTTTTGCAGATATTCTTACGGCTGCTGTGGCTTTTTGCCTATGCGAATTTTGCCATTTGGTTGTATGATATTGTGTTTCCCATTGCCGGAGGTCCTGATGTAGCTGCCTGTGACTTTTAGTGTTGCTACTTACTTGCTGTTGCAGATGTTGCTAATGTGGCTTTTGGTGTTGCATGTCTTGTTAGTATGACTTTTAAAGCATGTTTTAATTTGTTCATAAATTTATAATTTAAAAGTGGTTAACAATTGAACATTTCTATACATTTATTTAAAAGTTTTTAAGTTCTTAACTTTGGTTTTAAGCTACAATCTATTTACTTTTGAAGCTTTATTTACCTCCACAAAATTTTTCTGTTTTCTAAACGATTTTTTTTACTAGTAGTATTATCTAGATAAATGCAAATCTGTGATGTCTATGCAAATTCGTATCCAATCTCTTATGAAATAAAGAATTAATGGCCACCTCGTGCATGTAAATACCAAGTTCAATGAAAATGAAATGAAGAGGCCTTTGCACACCACATTACTCACCTGCTCAAGTGTGAAATGTAATTAGAAGACATGTTCCATCTGGCGATCAGATAACGAGCTTATGTCAGCCTCCATTCTGACTCACAAAACCCAGGGAGACTCTTGGCCAAGACAAATCCGACAACATTGTCAAACAAGATGCCTATCTCGAGAGCGTGCAATTCGAATTTGCAAGCTAACTCAGTTGATTTTGCCTTGGAAATGGCAAAACTCGTGCAATCTGTTCTGATTTTTGTTTGAAAATTCTCTTGAATTATTTGCAAGGACCAAATAAATTAACTAAAAAGCCTCACAGCAATTGAATTTCGCTTTCTATGGCAAACAAACGAAATGTCACTGTGGGTTAACTCAGTCGAGGAAGCCGCTTAGAGGCAAAACAAATTAGCAGCAAAATATGGCCAAATGGCAAGATGCAAATGCAAATTCAAATTCGAAAATTGGATTGTCCGGGCTTTGCTGTTTCTGCCCGGAGGCCAACTGTTGTTGCCGGAAGCGAAATTCTCATGTCCTGCGGACCCGAAATTCGCATGACAATGACAATTATCCGAGGCTAGTGACTATTATCCCAGCCCCTTGCGAAATGCTCGTGGGGACACGCCCACACAATGAGGGATAATTGTGAGTTACGCATACGCCAAGTGGGTCCCAGTATGGGTTTGATTTTATTGCCCACCGCCAGGACCCCAGAGCCAAAGCCAATTTGAGCCTGGCCCGAGCAATTTGGCAAGGGGAAGCCAAACAGGCGAACGGAAAAAAATGTGAAAATGAAAATGGGCAGAGACACACATTTTCGGATGCCCATAGAAATTTCCAAGTTTCCTTTTTTTTTGAGGGGGAATCCCCTTCGGTAAATTGAATTGAAGCGTCGCCAGAATGGGCAAGGCATCAATTCAATATCAGGAGGCTGTCTGCTCACCATATGCGTCTCTCTGCGTGCACAGGGAGAAAAAGTGTCTATAAATATATATTAGTGTAAAAATTATGTATGAAAATTTTTGTTATTCAAGCCTTAAAAACTTTAAATCGATTTATAAAGTTAAGTCTAAATTTCATATTAAATAAAAAATATATTTTTAGTGAGGCGAACACATTTAGTATTTTTCAATTTCTTCAAACACTCATTTTCTTTCGGTTTCGATATATGTATATAAGTGGGTTTCGGGAACAAGGACACGGGAATCAGCACAATTGGGTTCCTTGAAGGACCCGGCCCAATCAGTCGAGTGAAACTGTCGTTGGTAATTGATTTCGGTTGGCCCAGCCCGAACTAATTAAGTTATACGATTTCCTCTCCATCTTGGCAGCGCAGCTCCTGCAGTATTTGATTATGTTCTAATAATTAGCGATAGTTATGCAATTAATTCATGCTGTCATCGTCAACAACATCAATGATCCCAAACGTGTTTGTTTGGGGAATTGTATCGCCCGGGTCTTGGTTTAACATGGTAGTTCAATATGTACCACTCGAAGCAAAAAGCTTCCGTCTTGAGGTGCTCGAGTTTTTCGGTTGGGAATTTGATTGACTCGAGGAAATATATGGCCTTGTTTAGATTCTCAACCAATGGGGTCCGCGTGCGTGTTAAAATGCGCAATTTAACTGAAAATATTGGAGCAAAAACACTTTGGTGTTGAAAGTATTTCAGTACCTATTCTACTTACTATCATATTGCATGGTCAGATCATTGTATTTGCAGGCATATGTAACAGTGACGTTCTGGTAGTCCGTAAACAAGATGTTGGTTTTGAAATAGGCTTAGGGAGTATTTTAAAAATAATGAAACAAATAAGTGATATAAACCAATTTACAGGACTCACGACTATTTTGTACATTGTATGAGGCACAGCGACGCTGATAAACGGGCAAGTCCAGTGGTGTTGTAGCATAGGCAAACCAAACACCCAATAACTAGTTCAAAACCAAATACTTCTAGCAATAACCATAAACATTTAACTTAAATACTTACTCTTTTCTTGTTTACATTCTTCAAGGTCTTAACTTTGGGGCACTTACTTACTTCGAACGAAGTTATCAACGGCTTCTCCGTTCCCGTATGAAAAGCCTTGGTAACGTTACGTCCATTGGAATTTCCCACTACTAAGAGTAGAACAGTCAGTACTAAGCCTAAATAGATCAACCGCATTAGTATAGTTCTCCGTTCAAAGTAAATACTTTATTTTCCATCATTTGGTACGGTCTTAAAATTAATATAAGGGTCTTTGGCTTATTAACATGGGCTGGCTAATGAATTCGTTGCGGTTTTTAAAGCGACTACTCGGTTTTCCATCGCTGACAAAGTTTACGTGCTGCATTCGACCAAAGTTTTGGTTTTATTTGTTCAATTCATTCGACTTTTGTGCAGTATTGTTATTTTGTGAGGCAATTGCATAACGAATGACGGTATGACGCCTCACCGATATTGTTGTTTTGGATTCTTTTCACATGTACAATGTACATATTCCATCACGGAAACGTGCAGCGGAATCGGAAACGGGGCACGGACATTCGCAATTACACTCGCCCGTTGTCTGTCGATATATTAACTGGGTCCGTGCAATTTCTGTTCCAGCGATTTACATCTGCATTTGCATCGGCTGCTGCTGCTGCTGATGCGATTATGTCATCGCCAATTGGTTCACTGATTCGACAAGGTTCCGATGTGTCTTGGTCTCGGGCCTCGAGTTGTAAATAGTTATTTTAGTCGGCGGAATGATTCTATCGCTGCGTCCTGCCTTCCTCTGGCTAGTAATGCTGCTGCTCCTGATGGAACTGGTTGAGGTGTGGTCCTCTTGCTGTGCCTGTCCAGCAACCCGCTGCAAAATCCCACAGTGGCCCTGCTGCAATAAGAAGTCCAAGTGGTACCATTCAGTTTTCGGTTGAGAAGTGAAGATGGTAAATAAAATATTTCTCTAAATTGAAATTAAATATATTTGAAAAATCTCTTGTCGAAGTTAAATCAATCATTATAAATAACACCCTATGATTGCTACACCGTTTTTCTCCCACCCACGTAATTTAATTTAAAATGCCATATTGCGTATTGCTCTCTTTCTACGAGAGAATCTACTAGAGAATCCGCTCAAATTTACCAGTATTGCATGGGAAAAACAGTAAACGTATAAATACCAAAAATTTACCATGCGCATATCGATTTGATACCGTCGTGTTTATTTTGTTTAATAAACTAACATGCAGTTTATCACCAATATCCCCAAATATTTTATACAGTTAAGCCAGTAAAGTAAAGTTACCTTATCCATTATCAATATGACCATATTTTAAGAACCTTTTAAAATCTCTTTAACTTTCATGGCGGCAAAGTGCTTGCCTTCAAGCATGAACGCTCTACTTTTAGGGGCATTAAACAGCATAATTTATTTATTTTCAATTAAAATCTGTTCAGACTCATCGCCTGCTGCGCCTGCTACTCCTGCTGCGGAATTTTCGCGCTTACGGAGAAGCTCTCATTTTTGGTCAATTTTGCGCAACAATTATGTGAGCCCACGAACTTTAGCCCCGCTTTTTCCACCCTCCCACAGTCGCCCCGCAACTTGACTGCTCGACAACGTCAAATGATTTATTCAATTTGTGCTATGAAGCGTAAACTTTTTGTTTGCTCGTTGGCTGCGGAAGTTCGCTGTGCGAATCAATCGCGGCAGTCGGGGATTCTCCTGCCCCCGGGAACCGCAATTTAAATAGTTTTTCCACATGACAATGACCGAGATATACATTCCCTGGCCCAGGAGGTCAAACTGGATTTGAATATTTAACCTGATGCATTGCTGCGGTTAATAGTGATAGAAAGGATATATAGTGGATAAATCCAACCAATTATAATTACAATCGGGTTGCTCTGCCAGATAAAATGTTCAACATTATTGCACTTTGCAGCTTCATTTGTTTACGACTGCTGTTCTTCGGTTTTCCACTCCTCCGGAGGTTCCCTTTATTTTACGACAGTTGGGCAAAAAAGTTTTCTTTTTACAGCGTTATTAAGTTAATTACTTTGACGTCGAAGTGCGGAACTCGGACGGGTGTTTATGGAATGCCGGCCTGCAGACTCATACACCCAGAAAAATTGAGAACGAAAAAAATCAACATCGATCGATCTTGATTTTAGTATTCGTATTCTCACTTTTTTCTTCTTGATATCAAGATGAAAGCAGTGTTGATTCTAGTATTCCCAGTCAAAGTCAATCTCAGTTTTTATGTTGTGGAAGAGGGACGTGAGGAAAAGACATCGAAAAAATGAGAGGAAAAGGGCGGAGAGGCCGAATTCCTCTCTTGTAGCTATCGGGCAGTCATGCTTCATGATATCGGTAGCCTAGGGGACTAAAGCGTGCGGATTATATGTTTTGTAAGCGTATAGTCGGAAGTGTGTGTTCAGTCCCGCGTCGAGGCGGAAATTCTTTGCGTTTTTTTTTTTTTACTCATTAATATTTATATTTAATACAAATTAGGATTTTGTTAATCTAACACACATAAATGGCTTAATAAGAGTAAAAACCAAGAACCCAAGAGAACAAAATGTGATTGAACTTTGTACAGCGCCTCATGTGATGCTTCCATGGCGCAGCTGGTAGAGTGTTTGACTGCAAACTGTGAGGCAACGGGTTCGATTCCCACGACCGACCAAAGGTGTTTTTTCCAAGATAGTAAGTTATTTGAATTTTATATTTATCATTTGTTAATTATAATAATTATAATAATTTCAGTTATTGTTTCAGTTAAAATTTGAAACTAAATGTGTTCTTATATACGAACATAGTATAGTGTGACGTCATCCATGTGTTTAAATAAAGGAAAGAAAAATAAGTTGAGAAACGGGGGGAACCAACAACAACACCGACGGGGACAGGAGGGGGTGCAAGAGGCAAAATTCCCGATTCCTCAATTATTTTTTTTCTTCTTCTTATTCAATTTGTATCTTAAAATCGACATCGATTCGATGTTGAAACCGAGAAGACGTCATCTCGATATCGATAGCACACATACTCAAAAACCATTCTCAAAACCGAGATGACATCGATGTTGATTTTAGTATTTTCGATCTCGGCTAGGTTTTGTGATCGAAAATACTAAAATCAACATCGATGAGAACGGTTTTTTTTCTCGGTGTAATTAATAAGCATTTAGTTGGACACACCTCGAGGCGCCAATGATGTTGTCAAAAAGCGTGAGCTGTTAAAAAGTATATTTCATATTTGATTTTTATGATGCATTTCGCACGCCCCTCAATTGAAGGGCGAACGTGCCTGCCACTCGATGATTTCACCAGCCTTCAGCAGAAGAGCACGACGAAGAGAACTGCGGCAGACGGAGAAGAGAAAACCTCGGCGATGGGAAAAGTGAAACCGTAATTGGTGAGGAGTCTGGAATTACTTGAGTTATGGCTGAGGGCTCTTATTGGGATCGAACGCGCTAATTTGATGATAAGATAAATCGGGGAGACAGAGCTAAATCTTGAGGAAATCGTTTTACTAAAAGCATTTCAGAAAGATGTTGGCAGGCTGAGATATCTTTGTGATTGGTAAAAAAATTATAAATACATTGATAGGGATCTTAATTAAGGTATTTTAAAATATATAATGCAATTCTTATACGAAAATTTCACAAAAAGTTGCAATAAAACCTGGTTGATAAGTAAATCCATCCGTACACCAAAAAATGATATTGCTAAGCTAAAATAACTTAGAATAAAGTAAATCCCTGAAGGTAAGATTTATCAAGATTCTTTTATTTCGAGAATCTGTTTCAAATTTCCCAAAATGCGTAAAAAAAAATAAAAAAGAATTCGTTAGCAGTGCCCGGCAGACATGCGCCTGTCTGTCAAAGTATCGCAAAATGTGTTGCTCATATAAATTTCATTTATGCCAGTTAAATTAATTACTGTCAACACATGCGAGGCGGCAGCTCCACCAAAAGCACCACTACCACCACCACCAACATCGTCGTCAAGAAGAGGAGCAGCCACAGCAAAAACAATTGCCAATCAGCCACAGAAACTAAAGCAGGCCAAGCGTCCAACCAAAAGTCCAAAAACAACGCTGAAAACTTGGACGCAGAGTGCTGCGAGAGTCGAGCGTGTTGCGAACATAAACACAAAGTCATAAAGTTTTTACACAAAAACATTTAATTTTATTGCATTTTTGGGCAGCAGCCAGACCCCAGACCCCCAGACCCCCTTCCGAATCTGAAACCAGACGACGTCGTGAACAATGCACCACCCAAAAGCGGGGTGGAGGCCGTCCATAAGGCGGACGGTGGGAGGTGGGTGGGCGTGCTTCGATGGGAGAGCATGGTCTGCTGGCCAGGCCAACTTAATTTGCCGCAAATCGAGCAAAACTACAGCAAACAGAAGCGCTCGGGAGAAGCGGACCGAACATCGCACACAATTTTCGGCAGGACAGGCATGTTATTTTAAAAGCTTGAAAACATAGGGGTAACGTAGAATAAAAGAAGAATATGTGGAGCAAATGCTTTTGATTATGCTGCGTTAGTATAGAGAAAAATAAAATATTTGCAATATTAGCTAGTAAGAAAAATTTATAAGTAAACAATAATCAAAATATAAATTAAATATAAATAAAAAAAAAAATTGAATGAGTAATGTCACTAAACATTTGTTATCCGGAATAATTAATAATACGACTACCATGCGCGGATCCACGGACCGACTCGGGTGAAAAATAAAAGAAATATTGGTATTCAAAAAGTAGGCAACAACAAATTTGTTCTGATATCACCCCCCACAATAAAATCCTATATTCGCCTCTGGTGAATACTGATTTTTATCCCAAATATATAAAATAAAATAAATTAAATTAAATTATAATGTAACTTCTTATTTTACATTCACTTCCGGTGAAAAATGAAAGGAAATTTGGTACTCAAAAGGTTTGCAACAAAAAATTTGTTTTGATATCACCCCCACAACAAAATCCTAATTTTGCCCCTGGTGACTAATGATTTGTATCCCAAATAAATGTTAAACTATAATGTAACTTCTTATTTTATATCCACTAAGGTTGAAAAATAAAAGAAATTTGGGTATTCAAAAAGTATGCAATAAAAATGTTTTCTGAAAACTCCCCGCAGAATTATTTGTTATTACAATTTTGGTACTCAGTAATAAAGCTCTTGTCTAATTTTTCAGTATTAAAGTTCTGGTCTAATTTTGCGAAAACCATGTTAGTTTCCATTTGCAGTTGGCTAGATTGATGTTGCCTTTGCTTCCCTCGCTCGAATTCTTCCCACATGGCTCGTGTGGCAGGCGCGGTTGACGTCAGCAGCATTCAGCAGCAAAATCGCCCAAAAAACCAAAACACAATGTCGACATGCATCTGCAGTTGTTTAGACAACTTCTTGTCTTGGGACTCGCAACTGAAACGAGAAACCACAAAATCAGCGTTGCGAGCAGTCACACTGAAAAATGGGCCAAGCAAAGTTCTTTTCAATTTCGTCTGGAGGTTTCGCTATTTTTCCTCCTTTTCCCAGAAACCTCCTCGCCCAAAAACCATATCATTTTTGGCATGTGCCTAAAGTGCAGCATTAAAATAAGAATTATGCGGCAGACGGCAAACTGCAGACCGCAAAATGCAAAATGCAGCACGAAAAGAGAGAAGTAAAAACGTCCAGCGTGCGTATACGTAATGTGCATTAACATCAACAAGTGTTGAGGAAAATTCGCGTAGATTTGTGGGTCTTTATGGGCGGAGGAGACGGTTGGAAATTGTGTGCTTGCTGCAAATGGGAAGAGTGCCAACAACAATTTTTTGGTCGATCCCATTTCTAAATGATTTTCAATGCAGGGCCTTCGAGAGTTTGTTTGAATGTTTGAAATGATGATGATGGCAATGATTATCATGGCGGTGATTACTGTACTAAGTGGGGATTGTGGCTAACTCTGTTTGGTTGCATCTCACGTATGAACCGATGAG